AGGCCCGATGGTCGGGCCGGGCTCGGGCTCGGGCCTTAAAAAAATTTGTTAATACACAGTAAAAGCCCGGCCCGAGCCGGCCCATGAACAGGTCTAGTGACGACTCATTCGACTAGTCTACAACATTGGCTATAAACTAAAACTTTTGTTGGCCATAGGCCCATAACTTTGTGTTTGGTTGTTTGTTGAGGTGATCTTTATATCGATTTGGGGTAAATTTTTGACACATGCATTTCAAGGTAAAAATTTTTTTTACCTCAAATTCCAAGTTATAGTATTTTTTATGAATAAAAAAATAAAAAACTGATATGAAAATATAAGTTAAACATAAAATAATATTTATATAAGATCTCGATTAAGAAATTAGGGCACATGTTTTACCCCAAAAAAAAAGTGATTAGGGTACATCCTCTCTCAAAAGACCTAATTAAGTATATGTACTATTAGAAATTAGTTATATTCGGTCTTTTTAATCTTTTTCCAAAGAAATTCTTAAATATTACAAGGAAATTGGATTGAAAAAGAATCCAAAAAAGAATGGTGATTTAACTTTAAAGCAATCTTCTCAAAGGGGTTGCAGTAGGAGAGGCAAGCCGTGGGTGGGCCTCAGAGAGAGCAAAATAGCAGGAGAGTGACGATAGCTGGGAGAGAGGGAGAAAGAAAACTCAGAAAGGATGAGGGTTAGGACAATCTTGTATTCCATCATAGTCAAGTTCCTTCCAACACACATTCTCCCACCAAATCCGAAAGGCAAGAAACCCATTCTGTGCTTGCATCCGCCATGTGTGCTGTCTTTCTTGAACCTCTCCGGCCTGAACTGGTTCACGTCGTCTCCCCAGAGGTCTGGGTCATGGTGCATCCCCACTACGTCGATCCACATGTTGGTTCCATTGGGGACGATCAAATCTCCGACGCAAATGTCTTCTCTTGCTTGCCTCTGCACGTTGGGCGCCGGCGAGTATAAGCGTAGAACCTCGTTCATGACCCACCCCATCTGCAGCCATGCATACATGCAAATTTTTGAGCCTTCAACCAATAACAAGATTTATATATGGATTAATTCCGGAGAGGATGAACTTAATTAATTAATTACCTTCTTCAGTTTAGCCAGCATTGTGGGATCCAGAGGCTCGTCTCCGACTACTTGTTTGATTTCTTCTCGCAGTTGGTTCTGCCATTCTGGATGCAAAGCCAGTAACAGGAAGGTCCACGTTAGTGCCAACGCCGTGGTCTCATGGCCACCAAAGAAGAATGTCTTGCACTCGTCAACCAGCTCTCGGTCGGTCAGTTTCTTCACTACTCGTCGGCCATCACCTTCTTCGTTCTCTGCTATCAGAAGTCCAAGCAGGTTAACCTGAGCATCAACTCTGGAAGACATCTTACGACTGGTTATGATGGAGAGGAGAAGTTGGTCGATCTCCTTTCCCAGCTGTCTCGACTGCATGGTTTGCTTGAGGTAAAGGACATCGCTAAATGGGACTCCCACCATGCGATTAGACTCGAAAAGAGTTAACTGCAGGGCTCTCAGTTTCCTGAACACTTCCTGCCCATTTTCGCAGTTGATGCCGAAGGCCGTATTCGCTATGATTTCTGCTGCCGTGCTGATGATGTCTCTCTCCACGTCTATTTCCTTCTCGCCATTAGCGATGCGAAAATTCCACTGATCTATCATCTTAGTGGCCGACTCAACCATTATGCTTCCCATTGCCTGTAGGTATATACAGACAAAGTAATTAACAATTAATTAATGGCTCGATCGATGCAGAACTGGAATTTAAAGTAACAATTATTCTGTTTTTCACAACAAGATATTGATCTGATGTTGTTACCAACCAATAAAGAATTAAAGCTATATATCTCCACTATATATTTTGATTATTGTCCCATGAGTGTTCAGGAAAATCACTACTCTCTCAATGTTCATTATTATCAATCACCCTAGCTACAAGGGATACTTCACTATAAAGGTTTTCTCCTTCCTTATTGGTAGGTTGGACTAACTACTTGGAAGTAGTCAATTCTGTGTGTGAAAGGACTCCTCTTGCATCCACCACTTATTCATTAATTTATGCTTCGATTTTCCATGGATTATATTGTGATTTATCTCTTCTGTTGGAGGCAGCTGCACCTCCTTTTTTGGGGTTCTTTGTGCCATTTGTAAATTAAGGTTCATGATTTTCCTCTCCCCATGCTCAGTGGGTTAATTTTGCTTCAACTATTTAATTAGTTCATTTTTATTTGATAGGTATTCAACAATTTAGTTCGTTACTTGGTGATAAGCTTTTTCTTTATATTCTTGTCACTTTGTATTGAAGACATGGCTATATAAACTAATGCCATGTCAACATGGACAGCCAAGGTTTTCTTTAGTGCTATGTGCTCACGGAATATCTGGCTCTACCTGGTTGGAGGATATGAATCGATCAAATGCATTTTAGTGTTAAATTTAGGGTTTAGGGTTTAAAGATGGAGGGCTTATGGGTTAAAATTTAGGGTTTAGATGAAAAAAATCAAGAGATAATTTTCGCCTGCTTTCGTCCGACCATGGTAAGAGCCAAAGTAATTGAAGCCCTAAAGCACTACTAGTTAAAAGAGGCACATGCTAATCATGAAAGGCCACGTCAGCCTGATAATGAAAAGGCACTTGGAAAATTTTCTGACACGTGTCCCTTCGTATATCCCTAGCCCTTTCCTGGATAAAGATTAAAAGCAACTTAATTTTGATTCAGTCAGAACATTTATTAATGCTCATGGAATGTGTATTATAGAAGAAAGAAGTGTATGAGAGAGAGAGAGAGAGAGAAACCTTCAAATTGTTTGGTGAGAATGCAGGCGTTATAGTGTGCCTATGGTGAACCCAATCGTCCCCTTCCACCATTACCAGTCCATTTCCGAACATTGGTTTTCTATCGTATTTAAACACACTCGGCTTTCCCCATTTCTTGCCTGCAACGCCTGAAGACATCTGTTTTAGAAACCCAGGATCTGCGATATATAAGAATGGTTCTGTGCCGAGCCAATAGATGAAGACTTTTCCTGCAATTAATAGCATCCAAGTCATCAATTTCAGTTCAGCAAAGCCAAAAATAAAATTAAGCAAAAACTGCGCAGAACAGAAAAACACACACATATCTCATCTGGATACGTGGGTCTCTTAATGCAAACAGATAATCGATCAGAAGCTACTCATACTAAGAGTTCACATAGCATAATTTTGTAGTTGAATCTGAGTCTGACTGACTAAACTATACTTCTCGTTGGACTTTACTTCTGAGAGGCTACCAGAGTTTGGTCTATCGAGATAATATTAACTTACCGTGCAAACTTCTCCACCGAAAAAAGTAAGGAAAAACAGTTGAATGGATGTCATGGGTGATGTTCAATGATGGCGAAGAAGAAGGCTTACTCTTCTTCTTTCTCATTTCAGCAATGTTCCCTAGAGGAAAACTTGGACTCGGACCTCCAAACCCAATTCTTTTGAGCTTACGATATGCTCGAATAGGCAAAACCCACCACAAATATAGTGCTCTCACAACCAACAGAACTACAAGGCTTGCCATGGCCAAGCTCAGAGGCTTGAGCAATTGAATCTCCATCTCTCTCTCTCTCTCTCTCTCAGGTTATTGTCTGTTTATTGATTGGAGCTAGGAAATGTTGTTGCAGAGAGGTCTTATATTTATAGGAGAGCTTCGGTTCAGAAAAGTCGAGAGGGATACATCGTTGGAGGGGTTGGTTGATGACGACGGACGACGATAAACGAAGAAGAAATAATGCAGGAGGGTTTGCAGCAACTTCGTGTCCAGAACATTCTACTGGTGGTTAGCAGCAAATGTACTTTCGCAGAAAACGGTTGTTTATACTTTTACAGTTGTTCGTTTGAATTGAACAATAGATGATGTGACCGGGTCAAAATGCTACAGTATACCTATAGCTCTAAATATTTTCCCACCTTGTTTCTAATTTCTAATTTTTATGGTCACACTTACCGAAACAAACACACCATAAAGGTCTTTTAAAAGCAAAAAAAACATAGCGCCCATCACATCTGGAAGAGACAAAAATTCTCCCTTTGAATTGAATATGATCATTTTATCTTTCACATTCCTGTTAATTTTCTCGGTCAAGATCAAAGATCAATGGTCAAACTTCAAAAGTTAGCTATCCCAAATGTATTAAGCTTCCAGATCTCTAGGTTTAATTTATAAGAGAGAGATTAAAGGTTTTGAAAACCATTTGAGTTAATCAATACAAATTGTTATTTCTATCTAAAATATTAAATAATTTGATGTTTTTCTTATGATGGTACAAATGGCCAAGGTTTTTAAAACTCGACGGGTAGAGAACCATTTTGGGTCCAGTTTCCGGGTTGAATGGTTCAACCGTCTGGTCCAAAGTTTGTTCTAATAAAAAAATTAAAAAAATACAAAAAATAGCAAAAAACCGTTCTTGAGTCGAACTATTCAATGGTCCGACTACCGAGTCAGCAATTCGTTGACCAGACTAATGGTTTTTGGTCAGAAAGCGGTTTTGGGATAAAATGGAACCAATCATGTGACCGGTTCCCCGTTTTTTCTGGTCCAACTGTTCGGTCCGGTCCGATTTTGAAAACATTGACAATGGCAATGCAACATCATTGCACCAAACACCCCTTAAGAAAGTTAAAAAAATAGATTTGAGGCCAAAATGGCGTTCTTCAACAAAAATACTACCACGTGGCACCTTGTGTTGTATGTAGCACAAAAGTTAACCATATATACTTAGAGATCAAATCAGTCCCCAACAAGATTGCCCCCCACAACGTCCCACAGCACATCCCCATCGTGTATTGGGAACATCTCCCGATGATATACCAGAAATGACGATGTCATCATCCGGAGATGTTCCCAATACACGGTGGGGAAGTGCTGTGGGACGTTGTGGGGGGCGATCTTGATGGGGGCTGATTTGAACTCATATACTTAGGCCATGTTTGGTTCAATTCTCATTCTTTCTCATTCTTACCCAAGATGAAATTCTAAGATGAATAAGAATGGGTAAAAATGGGCAGAATGAGAAAATGTTGGTATAAACCAAATGTTTTTTTTTTCTAAAAATGAATTATTTTTAGACCGACAAGTGTCTTATGTAAAAATACTTTTGCAAAAATGCTTTCATAAAAATACTTTGATGAAAGTACTTTCATAAAAGTGCTTTTGTAAAAGTGCTTTTACAAAAATCTTTAATAAAAGTGCTTCTATAAAAGTTCTTTCACAAAAGTGCTTTCATAAAAGTACTTTCATGGTAGTCCACTAATAAACATCTATGGCAATAGTTTTATAGGCAGAGTTTCTTCAAAGAATGAAACTGAGCAAGATCATGGGGCATGATTATTTTTCATGTTGTAGGCTACCTCATTTTTTGTGCTATGGGTTAATTTTTCACTCTAAAAAGAATGTGTCTCATGAAAAGAATTTTGTAACCAAACACTCTAATGTTATTCATTCTTGCCTAGAATGAGCAAGAATTAAAAGAATGAGGCCAAGGGTAGTGAACCAAACATAGTCTTAATTTCCATCATTTTCCATTTTCACCATCTATGCAACAAGCCACCCTAATATAATGTTTACAATAAAAATTTCAAGGGGTTTTTATAGTTCAGTCCACCCCTAAGTGTAGCTAAGATTCCTAGGAGTGGACTGAATCCTGACCTTGGATTGATGCCAAATCCACGGACAGGATGCGGTTTATAGATTTTAAATCCACGGATAGGATGCGGTTTATAGATTTTAAACCCACTAAAAAATGTTCAAGTGTTCAATTATGATACTAGGAAATTAAAACGTACAATCAATCAATCAAATATGATACTGAGAAAATTCATAATTGCTTTGATTGATCAAAGCTCTTCTAGTACCATGTCGATTATAGATTTTTTCATAAAAAATTAATGTTTTAAATTTTAACCATTTGGATAGATGGATCCATCTCTAACCAAATCAATTGTTTTACATGTAATGGTTGAAATGGTTTGACCACTCAAATCAATAACGGACTGAAAACACTGAAATAAGGTAAAAATCCTTGATGATCGGCCAACCTGGCCCAATCCGAACAGTTTTTTTTTCCTAGCTTGATTTGGAATTAATATTGCTATGTTCCAACTTGGGTTTGATTCATCTGTATGAATTCAACCAGAAAGTTGGGATGGACTAGTATTGTGCTGAAATTAGAAAATCTAACCACTAGTAAAACTAAAATGTTATAATTAACAAATATCTACCACTTAATTATTAGGTCAACCAAATGAGATTCAGACCTTCAACCTCCTTTTCATTTATTCTTACTTATTAGATAGCTTTTATTGGACTGGCTACTAAAAGTTGAAAGTCCATGTTCGCCTGCATTGGTTTGGCCGACAAAATATAAAATCAAACAATATAATATATAATAAAAGGATTCGATTATGATATTGAAAAGAAATTATATCTGAAAATTTTCTGACTAAATTAATAGTCAATCAAATGTTATTTATCAAAATTCAAGGGTGGATTTTGATTGACCTCTACCAAGTCTTTTCCGTATGATAACGAAAAGACATGATATTGAAATAGCTTTGATCAATCAAAGCACTCTGTAAGTTTTGATTAATACCATCTGATTGGTTATTTGTTTTATGATGTAAATCAATTGGCTGCGAAGTTTTTCGATATCATGCCTTTTTGGTATTGTAGTTGAACCAATAAAATCATGCGAGCGGGGAGGGTAAATCAATAAAGAGGGGGGATGTTTGAAAGCTTTTGCCATTTGCTATGTGAGAACTACTGAATTTTACACAACTTGTGCTTTTGGAGGGAATGATAGGGTCCGCAGCAGGTGTATCTTTTTTGAGATTAGACTTCCCGCAGTGGTGGTCGCAGTCCTTGTAGGGTTCACATTTGGCCCCACAAGGGGAACGTCCCACAGTGTATTCCCGCCTTGAATTGAGAACATTTCTCGATGATGATATCATGGAATCTGGTATTATCATCGGGAGATGTTCTTAATACACGGCGGAGATGTGCTGTGGGACATTGTGGGGTGTAGATGTGAACTTCAAACTTGAGACCCCCCAATGATTGTGTGTGATGAACAAGATATATAAAATATCACATCAAACTGGTGTTTGATTAAAACACTAGCCTATTCAAAATATACCGAGAGTCTTGGATTTGTCCTGCTGCTGTGGTTGCAGAAAATGTGATTTACATTTGGGAAAATCTATGATGCGAAAAAGATATGATATTGGAAGAGTCTTAATCAATTAAAATTTATTCATGAATTTTGATAAATAACATCTGATTGGTTATCACATCTATGATATCAATTAATGGGTCAATAAATTTACAAATATCATATCTTTTCAAGTAAAAATTTGGACTATTTTCCCACATAAGTGTTACTCTTGTGCGTAGATAAATACTTTTTCTGGGAAGAGAGAAATTAGCTAAACTGCTGTGAGACTAAAATGCTACTATCAGGGTATTTGTGGAAAATTATGTAACATATTCAATTAACATTTTCGCACAAAATAATATAGACATCAAATCAAATTGGAACAAGTAAGCTTTTTTAGAAAGGTGGCTAGCGACGAGTTACGACAGTCGTCTCCTGGTCGGTGCCACAGAAAGGACTGAGATGGAGACCTGACCAACGTAAGCAATTACATCGTTTTTATGGAGCCCGGCCGGCCCAGGAAAAATGCAAAAAGGGAAAAGGGAATTTCAGAAAGTGAAAGAATATCGTGAAAAATGAGAATTCGCATCAGCGCCCGACTACGGGTGGATTCGAGCTGAGCTGAGCCGAGCCGAACAGTACAAGGCTCGAGCTCAGCTCGAGACTGTTTTATAAGGCTTGAATTTGAGTTCGAGTTTAGTTTGAGCTATAACCTTGAGTTCAAGTAAAAAACTCATAAGCTGAGTTTGATTTTGAGAAAAAAAATGTTTTATAAAAATAAAAATATTTTTTATTTGATACTAAAAAATTAAGAATTATAATATTTTTATTATATATATATATATTTGAGCCGGCTTGTAAGCCTCATGAATAGGGCTCTATTAAGCTCGTTTCTTAATCGAGCCTGTGAATTGGGTTTGAGCTCAATTCATCTCAGCAGTGATGGCTTATAAATTCGGATTTCCTACCCACACAAACTTTGTTCATGTCTACTCACATAATATCACAGTCATACATGAAGAACATCTCATCTTTTACATAATATTATGAAGAGGGAGACGTTTCTCGTTGGTAGGAGATCCGGAGTGATGGCTTTTTTGGGCATTTTTTTTACTCTCTAATTTCTATTGGTTTCATGTCAAACCTACAAACGTAATTGTTATCATTTTGCAGACTGGTTCCTTCACTTCACTTTGTGTATGTGGGGATACCCGTGTCTGCTTTCCTCTTTTGGAATTAACTCAATTTGGCATGACATTAGGAACGTGGTTGGTTTCATTTTTTTTTATGTATTTGTTGTATTTTGGTTATTACTTCTTACTTACTACTTTGTTATTTTTGCTTAAGTTCAGTGTTGATTGAAACTGGCCGGTGAGATTGGGTGATGAATCAACCGGCTAAGACT